TATCCTTAATATTAGAATAAATTGACTTGGTAATAACATTAAAGGTAACAACATAATCTGCATTTGTATTTTGAGATATTTTTATCTTTAAACAAATTATGAGTATTTTTAAATCTTAACGATTTGTATACCCACAATTTGCTTAAAAATGTAAATATTGTATAAAACCTCAAACAATTATTTAAACACAAGGGTTTTAACTAATAGTTTAATAACAGGTCAATTCACTCTAATATTAAAGCATCAATTCAAAATCGGTTCTGCTAAATAATTATTTGTTTGTAAGACAAAGACAACATATGGTATAGTGTCCTCTTTAAAAGTTGTCACACATTGTAGCGGTGGCAGTAAAATTGTGTCAAACTTTATTTTGCCGCAACCCTTACTGCTTCCGTCACTCCCACCGCTGCAGTATGGGGGAATTTAAACAGATGGTAATTTTTCATACAATAATATTTTTATAAGTAGTTTATATTCAAATTTTAGAAATTTCTAACTTAAAAATTATAATTTATTAATTTTATCTTGTATATTTTTATAAAAAAAATCTGTACTTATTTTTATTGATTTATTTGAAAAATTTTCTGATAATTATTTTTGTTATTTTTTATAAAATTTAGTTGAAAAAATAAAAAACAATTAAAATCAAGTATCAAGCATATTTTTCTGGTTTAACTTCTTATTAATGATTTCGACCCAATGTGTTTCACACAACTTTTTAGCTTTAATTGCTAAATATTTGTTATTATTCCGACTGTGTTGCGAATTGAAGATACCTTGCTTGCTTTACTAAGCACTAAATTAAATCTTTGATTGGCAAAGTGTGTATAAAGTACAATAGGCTGTAAATTTGAAATTCAAGATTGTACTCCTTTAAATGCACCACTYTATTCACAGCACCATCATATCCTTGTCCTTGAAGCAGAGCAAGATTTAAATTGACAGGGGGCACGTGCTCCTCCCCTGAATTCGCCATTGACCCTATATAATATCAAATATAATATATGAAATAATAATCAAAAATCATCAAAACAAAGCACTAWAAAGTTCAGTGCTTTAAAACAAAAATGATCTCAATTTTATTTATTTTTACATTTGTAGTTCCTTGATATAATTTTTTTAATATTATTAGTAATATAATTAATTAATATTGATTGAAAATTAATTATATTCTTTGAATCATTGTTTTTWTTTCAGTCAAATGTTACATCTTCTTATTCTACCTACAATCTGTTATGTTGCCTTACAAACATTAAGTCCAAATATGATTCATAAGTAATTATAACACAAAATTATTATGTATGTTTTATATTAAGTTAAAGAAATGCTTAATTGTTGTTGTTTTAGAGCTGTGTTACTTATATGTTGTGTGTACTTATCATTATTACATATTTATCGTCAAGTTTATGAGTATGGATCTTATACCTTAGATATAACAGGTAAATTTTATTAAAAATAATATTGATTACATAAAATATTTATTATATTTTTATGCTATGTAATTATTCTAAACAACTGAAAAACTGTGATTAAATAAGTAGTTWWAAAAAAAGTCAATAGGAAGTGTCACTACTGGGTGGCTTCTTCCAACAACTCATGCATTTCATTGTAAATTAGTCCATATTCTTATTGTGCCACAGGTTACAGATTGTATATTTCATATAAAAAATAAAAAATGTTATGTAATTGTCATTATTTTGGTTAAGACATGAGAGTTTAGACAAATAAGTAAATTTAAATATTATAATTTTTTTTATTAGAATTCACTAGAATTTCAAATTTTATTTTTTATAAATATATGCCTACAACATGTAATTCTTACAGCATTTGTTTTAATGAACTTTTGCCTATTTTTTTCTCAAATACCTAGGATTTAATCATTTTACTATCTAAACAATAAGGTTTTTTAACATTTCAGAGATTAATTTTATTTAGTATGCCAACTGACAATTAAGTCCTATTATAAGCTGGTTAAATGTCAATGGAAAAAAATAAAACATTAATGGAAAAATACTTAAATTACTCTGGTGTCTTAAATGTATCTTATTATTTTTTTAAATTAAAAATAAAATAATTMTATTGATTTTCAGGTCCAGTAATGGTAATGGTACAAAAATTATCTGCATTAGCTTGTGGCTTACATGATGGCCTTATGACTGACAAGAAACAGTTAACAGATATTCAAAAACATTACAAAATTAGGTAAAATATTTTGCATTTTTAATTTTTTTGTGGATTATGTTTAGTTAAATAAATTGTTTTCTTATAGAAAGGCACCAACACTCATTCAATACATAAGCTACTTATTAACATTTCAAACAATTTTAGCTGGACCCAATGCTTTTTTTGAAGATTATTTAGCCTATTTAGATGGTACCAATTTTCCAAAAAAATTACCAAATGAGGTAATTATCTATTATGTTTTTGCTCATTTGTATTATTATTTTATAAACTTATTTTGTTTAGGCTAAATCACCTCCATCTCCTTTGAAGCCTGTATTGAAAAAAGTATTAATTACATTTATATGTGCTCTTGTAATCTACTTCATTGTACCAATGTATCCAGCTTCTACATTGATAGGTTTGTAACTTTATATGTTTATAATTTTCAATATGTTATTGAATCTTCTCTATTTTGTATATGTTTAATTTGTGATAGTTAAGGCTGTGAAATTATTTTATCAAAAAAAAAAATTTAATTTTGATATTGCTTTAAAAAAAAACTTCAAAATTGCACTACAATATTTTTATTACAATTCAAACGAAAAATACTTGCAATTAAATATCTTTTATTTATGTTTATAAAAATACATGTTTAATGGTCATTTAATTCTATTTTTCAAATTCATATGTAGAGAATAAAATCTTATAAGCATAAACACAAATTTATAGCGCGACAATTAAATTAATTGACCAAAAAAAATGCAGATAATGCAATAACTTTCGAGCCTTATTTTTAATTTCAAAGTTAATACATTGTATGTAGTCTTGTCTTAAAGTTTCAGAATGTTGTATGGAAAAATTACATTATACTTGGTTTTTTTCTAGATGAAACATTTTTAAGTGAATCTCCTTTCTACTCAAAAATTTGGTTTATTATAGTCATAACATCTTTAACTCGTTTCAAGTACTATTTTGCTTGGACCTTAGCTGATGCAGTTTGCAATGCTTCTGGTTTTGGATTTTCTGGTTACAATGAGAAGGGGGAACAAGAATGGAACCTACTCGACAATATCGATATTTTAGGAGTTGAAGTATGCATTAGTGTTAAATCTAAATTATGAATACTTCTATATCATATATAAAATTATGGTCTTATTGTTGATTTCTGTAATACTTATAAAATTCTGTCAATATTTTGTTTAGTTTGGCGTTAACTTCAGAGCTACTATTGATGCCTGGAACAAAGGCACAAATCTGTGGCTTCGTTATGTTATGTACGAAAGGGCATCTCCTAAATATAACACAGTTATGACATACACCTTGTCTGCATTCTGGCATGGTTTTTACCCAGGTTATTATGTGACTTTCCTTACTGGATCGTTATTTACGAACAGCGCAAGAATGGTGATTATATGAAAACCTAGTGTTATTTTTAACTACTAAATAAATATGTTCTGTTTGTTTACTGTTATAGGTTCGGAGATGTTTGTGGCACAGATTCCAGCAACCCAAACCTGTGAAACTTGCTTACGACATAGTAACATGTTTCTTGACAAGACTTTGCTTGTCCTACATGACATTTTCTTTCATAATTTTAGAACTTATGCCTTCATTGCGTGTCTTTTGGTAAGACATATATAATATGTACATGATATCATTTACAAATTTTCAATGTATTATTCATTGTATTTTAGTATTATTAATTATTTCTGAAAATTATGTTAATTTTTTTTGTAATGTATTGATAATATTTCATTTTCAGTATTTTTCAAACAAAATATTCGTTAATTACCATTTTTTTTTTTTTACAGGCATCTCAAGTTTTATCTGCACATACTAGCAGCATTGGGAATTTATGTACTACCATTAATCGTTTCTCCGCTCAAAACAGTCAAGAAAAAATCACAATAATTTGATGTAATTGATTATAGTTAGTAACTATAATCTATATGAATTAGATCATTAAAAGACTGTATGTATGGTAAATCAAAATATATTATCTATGAAGTTGAATTAATTTAAAATTGCACTGGAAAAAAAAAGAAAGATTATGTCAAGGAAGTTTATTATTGAATTAAGTATAGTAAACTTTATAATATGATTTGATCATAGTATATAATTTATTATGTTGTATTCATAAGATTTAAGACCATGTCGGTTGAGCAAGATAAAGAAACAAATTGAACTTATATGTATATATGTGCTAAATGCTAAAACATATTTTTTTTAAAGTCTAATTTTTTAAATTCTAAAGATAGATGATTGAAATGAGTTCTGGCATTATTTTAGCACAGCCACAAATGGTAGTATGATAAAGGGAACATGCCTTTGATTACATTTTCCTGACTCACTATATGAGATTATAAGTGTCTTGCTCATCTTTTTTATTGGTCTACTAAAAATATAAATCACAAATCTCTTTAGTAAAAAACTACTAATTTYAAATTTGTTGTACTTGTTCAATTATTTTACTATGTAAAACAATATAATGTAGTAATAGTATTTGTATTTTATTAACGTGTTTAATTTTTAAATTTTTAAATTTTTAAATTTACAAATTATTGTTTATTAGTCAAACAAATAACATATTTATATTATAAGAAAATCAATCAATATATATATACTAATTATACAACACGATTTTGACGTGAAATTTGCAATTAATTTTTATCACAAAATAACTTTTTTTTTGTCAACTGAGAAAGTCGCAGTGCTCCAGTCCGGCTGCGCTATTCAACTAATTATAAAGAATGATCAATATTTTTTCTGATAAGTATATTGTAATAATATAATTATATATTATATCAGTGGTGTCGAAACAAATAAAAACATTTTTATTAGATAAAAAATTTTATGTATTTTTATTACATTTTATTWTGGATTTATGATTGCAGTATTCTATATCTGATTTTCCATACAAAAATTGATGTTGAAATTTTAAAGCTTCAAGTCCATAGCTAGTCCAGTTGGGTATTAGATATCTGGCGAASAGTTCTAAGCATTTTGGTGTTGGAGGCAGATAAGCAACTAATATTTCTAAAATGAAAATAAAATTTGTATATTTAAAAAATAATTACCACAGTATTGATAAAATTAGGAGGAAAATAATGCTATTGTAGTGGTGGTTCAACAAGAATTATTGTGGTAAAATAGTTTTTGATAAGTTTTACAAGCAATTAAAATTTTAAATACAAACAAGGCCAACTCAAAGAAAATAAGACTTACATTTTATTTTTATTACTTAAAAATAATTTAATCAATAATTTTGCTAACACTTAAAAATATTAGTTATTTTTTTTTTTTTCATGTTTCCTTAAATATTTAATATGTTTCTAGAAGTATGATTGAATGAAAATTAATTGATGGGTAATTTATTAGTGTAATAAGTGATAACTAATAAGATGTAAATATATATGAAAACCAATGATAGATGATTATAACATGATAAGAAACGTTATATGGGAAGAAAACCTTTAAAAAAAGTGTGGATTAGCCCATGTATATATATGAGTATACTATCTACTCTTTAAAGAAGTTACGGCTACTAAATTGCCTATTAWGTTTAAGTAAGTTAATGAATATTTATTTTTGTAGTTGATTAACATTTATTTGGTTATTTATAAATAAGAACGKTAAATTATGACTTAATAGCATTGTATAACAATAAATAAATTCATTAAAGTTCTTACCAGATAGAGGAGGTTTATGTGAGTGCACTGAACTTGGAACACTTGCAATGAACTTACCTTCTTCGGGATTTTTTATTTTGGCTTCACAGTCCATTTTCCTTCCAAATAATATGCGTTCGTAAGGCTGTTTGCCAGTCCCTGGAGCAAAATTACAAACAAATTCTCCACATTCTGTAACCTTAGGTAGAAATCAAAATCTATGAATATTGGTTTTTTATTTAAAGTWCAGTAACGATAATTTTAATTTGTATACATTTTCTTGGACTTAACAAGGTAGAACTATATTATATTTTTTAAGTAAGTTATTAAAACTTTATACCTTTATCCAGTACCAACAAGCTACATATTTGACATTCCATATTGGAAATAATTTAGATTTTAATGAGTCTATATGATTTGGAGAATTTGTACACCACACACAGACTAAACCATTTGAAGTTAGGAATTCATTTATGGGTAATTGGGCCAAATCTTGATCAGACATCATTGTATACCTAAGTACACATATTAATATAAATTTAATAATGATCTAATGTTAWGAGGTTATTTCAATTGATTCAGTACCCTTCATCTCGTTTAATTTTCTTTTTTCTTTTTATATATTTGTTTGTCCATGGTGGATCTAACAAAATCAGGTCAAATTTTTGATCTCCAAGATTTTTTAAGTTGAAAACATTGTCACAATAAAACTGACATTTTTGAGGGAATACATAACCATTAGCTGTATGTAAGTTTGGATTTGGATTTTGACCGTAAAATGATTTCAGTGCACTAGTGCTTTCATAAAACTTTATAGATGCATGTCTAGCACAACTATTGTTATCCAAAATGTTTGGTGTTATGGAAAATAAGTCTGGGTGATTTTTTTTTAAATTTGATATAAATTTCTTTATTCTTTTACTTATTTCATCTTCCTAAAAAGTGTTTTAAATTAGGTTGAGTAAGGTAAAATTAGGGAGTGAAAATATGAAAAGTTTAAATTCATTAAATACAATATAATATGATACTTTAGTATCTAGATTAAATTTACTCTCATTAAAAATTGAACCTGTACCTCATATGGTGGCCTTTTTCTCTTACGTTTTACGACATTAGTCTCCAGACTAGTTTCTACTYGTTGTCTGTCCCTGACAAATGGATTGTTTATGTGAAAGAAATGTTCATACAAATGTATACAGTTTTCGGTTTTGCTCAAAATCGTATCGTACAATTTTGAAATAAACATTTGATGCGAAATGAAGAAACCATCGTCATCGCTGTACAAAACGCTCATTGTGTGAGTTGTGATTAAGTTAAATACATAACATCTTCAATCTTTCATCATCCAAAGTGAAAAGTTTTGAGCTATAATAGCAGACGAGATTTTAAATTTTAAACATTACAAATTGCAATTGCAACCAACATACAACAGTTGATTTTCAAAATAACTAATTATTACAATTTTGAATTTATATGATAGTAAAATTAACCACAGATAGCCGGCAGTTTTGTTTTTGTTCTGTGGTGATAAGATCATGCCATCATGGAGCAACAACTGTTGAAAATGGAGAAACGTTATCATCAGTGATACCCAGAATTCCAGTCCGGGGCGTCATAATAATTATTATTATTCGTCCACTTGTTCACTATTTAGTGAGTTATTGTTTACGTGAGTCGTGAATGATTAGTTTAAAGAATTCAAGAATCGCGAATCACATCACACGTTGACTTGGACCGACGAAGCAGTTGAATTGGAGACAAATGCCTCAAATCGGAAACAAGACCCTAAATAATTATTAATACAGGTAAATTATTCGTTTGTTTGTAGCTCATATTTGTTTTTCGATTGATTGATTGATTGATACGTTTCGCTTTCCTCGCAGAATGTCAGTGGTTCTAGACGACAAGACTGAGTTTATGTCAAATCCTTTTTACGATCAACACGAACCGAGCAACTATCAAACTTTCTACGTGACTCTYGGTGTGTGCACTGTGTTTGCCTTTGCACTGGTGGTCGTCAACTTGTTTCTGTGTTGCTTTTCCAAGCACAGACATTACTGGAGAAATAGCGAAACGGGTGAGTAATCAGTTGCTTGGCTTATATATTATATTGTATTTTGTTTTTTAATCAATATTTATTTGCTTACACTCAGGTAATCGTTACATACTACCAATTTGGATCAAGACGCCCGCAAAACAAGCTCCACTCGATCTGAAAGAGTTGGAGACAAATTTTTCGAAACCAAAACCAGTTTACGACTCAGGGGTTCCTCAAGAATTCGTCGAGCTCCACAAGAAAGAGAGTGACATTTAAACAGAACAATGATTCACATATTTTCACCATTGTTATTGTTGTTGGCCATGTTTGTATTGTTTGTAATTATTGCTATTGTGAGGTATGGGGAGCGATTCTGTTCGGTACACAGAGACCCTATCAACTACAATAATTACAACAACGAATACGTAGAACAAGTATCATACGCTTGATTAAAATTTTTAATTCACACACCTCTAGAGCTTCAAATAAATATGGGTTAATTTTACTTCATTTTCACAATTTATACTGCACAATCTTATTACACAGTGTCTTTTAGGTTGTGCAATCACTTAATAACAAAATATGATTAACTTCGATGACATTAAGTGAATAATTTGAGACTTAATCACAAAATTTTTATTTAATTTCATTTTTACTCCATTAGTGATTTCTTATTTTTATTATTAGTAAACAAATGTTATTCATTGATTTATTTCACGTAATTCACTAGTTGGTTAAATGTAATATTATCTTATTTGTATCAATGTTTAATGCATTCATCAATTCTATTAATCTGAACAAGTTAATTTTATTATTAATATTTAAATAGGTACAACATAATGGAAATATATTTTTATCGAATTAAAAGTGTTCACTATTTACTTTTTAAGTAAAAAAAACTGAGAAACATTTTTAAAATTTGAATTGTTTTCAACAATATTTTCTCAATACTGAACCTTTATCTATTTTTTCTCATAACTTATTGGTTATTATAAAAGTATTATATTATATGTTTAACTTCTGGATACTTAGGTTCATGGCTAAATTTAATAACTTTTTGAAATGTTAAAAGTAAAACATTTATTTGCCCATAATTTTGTAATAAGCGTTTTAAACATTGTATTGTGTTTAAGTAATTTTTTTTGTTAATTTATATACTCTATTCATCTAAGAACTATACTCATTGGCGACCAGTTATGGCAATATCCATTTGTTATTTTACTGATTCAACCACTTGCTGTGTAATAATGTCACCTACATAGCGTCAGCTCAGTATAGTTCGTAACTTGAATAGAGTATGAATTTATATTTTATTCTAACAATTCCGTCCATATTGTGATCAAGTATAATTATAGGTATTATTGTAAGACTTTTGGATGACTATAAAGTAACATTTACACAATGGTATTATAATTTTAAGACTTTACATACATTATATTATAAACTTCATGATTGTTTGAATTATATTTTTATTTGATCTAATTATGTTAAATTAATTGAATATAAAAACATAATATCCATAGCTGTATACTTATGTTTGATTGTGTGTAATATTATATCAATATTGCTTCCAGAGAGTTTTTGAATCTCAACTGCCGTCCAATAAGTCAAAATATTTGTAGGTAATCATTGTATTTAATTACAGTTTATTTTTTTACAAATCATATTTTATAATAAACTTTTTTGAATGAAAATAATATGTGTTTGCTATTATTATTTATTAAAAATGATCGACCTAACCTGTGTTACATAAGAATTTTGCCTAGATAATGTAATAATTATATTAACTAATTTTCATAAAAATCGCTATACAGTGTGTTTCCTTTTAAAGGTAACACTAAATAATTCTGTCCAGTGACATCGGATTAATA